TCACTGAGTTCCCATAAAATATTCTAATAATAAATTTGGATTCTACATGAATAACTTTTCCTAATCCTACCTGTCCCAACTTTGGAAACTCCTAAAATCCCTCCCCCAAATCCCCTCACTATGCCGCCGGCCATCATGGAGAAGACCCAATAATTACTCTTTAATTCCCCAATCAATTCCTTTGAAATTTGGAAACTAATTCAAATGGAATTTTCCCTCCAAACATCATTAATTTATGAAATTTATTTCAGAATTTAATTTAGGGAATTAAACCTAGGATTGCAATTTCAACCCTAGCCTCTTCCTTGTGGAACCCGCCGCCCATCCTTTCCCCTGGGGAGATCCCCGCCAGCCTCTCAATCCCCAATCCTCCTTCTTTTGGGCGCAAGGCACCTCCTTCATCATGCACTCCAAGTTTCGTTCTTTTGAAGATTGGCCAACATCAAGCATGAATGGCGAGCGGATTGAGTGGGGCCTTCGTATCAAACGCCGATCGGAAGCATCAACACCTACGATCACCTTGTTTCGACGTAGGATTTGAAGATCGAAACGACCGTGGGAAAAAAAGAGGGTAAAAAAAAGAAAAAACTTGAGAGAGTCGTTCCGATCCTTGCACTAATACAAGAGAAAAGACCCATATATATAGGTCTCAAGTAACATGAAGAAATAAAGACTAAATTGCCCTCAGGGCCCCAACATGACTCAACTCAACATAAGGGTACAAAAAGGAGTACATAAAATAAAATGCATAATAACTAAAAAAATATAAGCTTTGAATCGTGGCCGTCGATCTGCGATGCTTCCGGCAATACATGTGTTTGAACCTTGGATCGATGTCCTCATCACAATGATTAAGCTTAATTAAATTTTTGGAAAAGGCAAGCTTAAAATTTTTCTAACAAATATCAATTTGCTGGCTCTAAGCTTAGCTGAGCATTTCAAAAATTATGACTTACATTTTGCCTAGTTAAGTAAAAGAATTAAAACATATTTGGTGGGTTTAAAGGGCTTAACCACCAGCTAATCCCAAACCAAATAAACCCAAACTCTTTTTTTTAACCAATTTATCATACCAATTATGCAATATAACAATGTCATAATTTTTAATTTTTAATTTTGTTATAAATCCATCTTCACAATCTCAGTTCTACCCATGCCCAACGTTGTTATAGATAACATATCACCGCAACTTTCAAAACCATATACCATAGATCTACAAATTGTAATTTTATTAAATTTTATTTATGTCTCAATGATATTCTCACATTGCCCAACTCCTTAGGCATTTCTTTATTTTAAAAATCGAGCATTAACACTGTAAATTATATCCTCATGTATATCCATAATCTTCTATATAAAAGATTCAAAATACTTAAACTAATTAAATCAAATAAATCTGCATAGTATAAGCTTAGTTACTTACATATATGGATATATAAACAAAAATATGAAATTTACATAAAATGCGCAGTACATAGCAATCAAAGCATGTCCAACTTTTTCGTTATTTGGTCCATACCAAATAAATAAAACATCAAAACACTAAAAGTAAAATAATGGCATACTTGGAGTAACTGAGAACCTCTTAAAAGCAAATCTTCCTTATCTGCCTGTTTGCTCAGTAAGATATCTGCAAAGGATCTTCCACCCGATATGGACTGCCATATGATTATAAATGTAAAGCTAAGAAATAGATAAATACATGAAACTATTAATAGTTGTATAAGAACCAATACATTGATGCAAAACTTCCAAACATAACAATTGTCAAGAAAAAAAAAACTAAAATTGCAGCACAGGAAATTGCAGCAATCGCTTAATAACTTGCATTAGCACAAGAAATAACGAACTGAGATGAAAAAAAGCTAATTAAACATCTTAATTACATAAAGATTGTCAACTTGTTCAAAACGTTAAGCTACATTACACGCTAGTCAAAACTTGAATGCTAAAAAGCCAATAGATTACTCTAAAATAAAGTACCTGATTATGATTTTCAACATAGAGAAGCATCTTATCACTTCTTTGACTGTTTCTAACAAGTACATCCACAATCTGAACAAGAATAATTCAATTAAAGGTGAGACAACAAAAAAGAAAGTTCTCACTTTTGTAAACTAAAACGTAGACTGTATTCAAACATATTCATCCATGACAGCTGATTCTCATTCATGATAAAGCTCAAGTAAAGATTACAGCAGATAGTCCATTATACATCTGTTCCCAAATTCCTTCTCAATCACATGCACAGCAATACGTTAAATAATAGAAATATTTTAAAACAAATCTCAGCCTAAATGATACCAGTAAGTGAGTTTATGATTTCCTGCACATGCAATCTTGACATTTAGCATTAAATGCCAAATTTAAATAAGAGACACCTTAAGATGCAACCACCAAAACAATAATGGCAATAAGTTGCAAAAACAGCATTAAAGATTGTCATCATGACCACACGGTAAGTGGAGATTTATTATCAAGAGTGTCCAGCACGAAGTACCAAAGAAATAAACTGAAGAAGTCGCCGGAACCTTTCTATAGACGCTAAATTTTATTGAAACTTTGGACAGAATCTCTCAAGTAAACACAAAACTTCAATGTTTACAGAGTCAAATTGCAATTGTTGGAAGCATGTTTCTTGAAAAATTAAGTGAGATTCTTGATTCCAGTATTGAAGAACTAAAGCACCAACCTAATATCTAAGTTCATAGTTAAATGCATGCACATTTCAACAACTTCCAAAGGACTTTATCAGCTAAATCGGTTGGCAACCACCATATGCATGCATTTATGTTTGTTTATGCATATACAACAAGAGCAGAGATTTCAAGCAATGGTCAAGTTGCCTTTAATATAATTAACCATAAGTTCAAATCATGATAATAACCTACTTTCCATGGAAAAATAGGTCTGAATATAATAGCACGACCCCATGCACAAGTTCAACTAGAGAGGGAGGGTAAAATTGTCATTTGTCCAAGTTTGATTTGAGTTCAATTCCAATTTGATTTGATTTTATTTGGATTTGAAATTTAGGAATCATTTAAATTTTATTCTAATTCATGTCCCCTGTTGTTCAATCAAGTTTAAAAGTCCACTGCTCTTTCTCATTTAAGTCCAGGCTCTTGCTCTTTTGAGTTTCAAAACAGGTCCAAGTGTAGTAGTATTTCACCCGAAATTTCGGCAGCCTCCTGGCGTCTCCCCCGTTTAGGGGAAAACTACGAGAAAACTGGGTCTTTCCACCACGCGCAATAAAAGCGTGCATGGTAGGTGGCCTCTTTCGAGGACACCGCGGCCGTGATTTTTCTTCCCACCACGCGCAATAAAGGCGTGCATGGGGTCTTTGACGGTACCTGTTACAAGAAAATAGCAATTTGCTTTCCCCCCGTCCGGGGGTACTTATAAATTGTTTCGGTCACGCAGAGAAAAGAGTACACCAGGCTCACCTGGCCTCGTCGTGTGCGTCGCACCGGGTTCCCTCCTACCACGCTCAATAAAAGCGTGCTTAGGTGGTCCGCCGACCCGACACGCAAGTCGATACAGGAGGGCGAGGGTCGCTTACTTACCTCATCGTAGGAGTCGCACCGGGTTCGCTCCTACCACGCTCACTAAAGGCGTGCTTAAGTGGTCCGCCGGCTAGACACGCACGTCGAAGTAGGAGGGCGAGCGAAGGCGACTGTCCGCCTCGTCGTAGGCATCGGACCGGATTCCCTCCTACCACGCTCAACAAAGGCGTGCTTAGGTGGTCTACCGGCCCATCGTACACGCCGAGGACGGAAGCCTGAGTTTAGGAATTATACCTTCGGGATCGGCGACGGAGACTCGTGGATCGAGGCAGGAGAAGCACACTTATAATTCATCATTATCATTCTTTATTATAAATTATATTAATTATAATAATAATAATTAAAAAATTATTATTGATAATTAATTATCAATTAACAATTAATTATAAT